CCGCGCCGTGTGGGTCCCCTCCGGGGCAGGCGGGAATCGAACTCATGCGGAAGCGGCTTTAGCTTCTCAGTGCAGTGCTTTAACCCGCTGCGCCACCAGAGAGGGCCCTTCTTTCTTTTTTTTTTTTAAAGATTTATTTATTGGCACTCCCTGGTGATGCAGTGGGTTGGAGCTTCAGTGATGCTGTGGCTGCTTCAGTGTGAGTTCAATCCCCAGCCTCGAAAGTGATCTATATGGTGCAGATCTGGGGTACCGGCCAGAGGTGCAGGGGCGGTGAGAGGCTTCACCATAGTCAGAGTGGGGAGCAGAACAGGCAGACTGATGAAGTTCACTGCTGTGGGGAGAAGTTGGTGAGGCAAGAGAGGTCTGCCACGCCATGTGGATCACTTCAGGGGCAGGGATCGAACTAGCACCAAAGTGGCCATGACCAGCTTGGCAGTGCCGTGCTTTACCCACTGGGCTACTAGGGAGGGCCATAATGTATATTTTCAGTCCTTCTCTTATTGCACAAGCAGCTTTCTCTCCAACGTCCCCTGATGCTAAACTCTCCTGGCTTTTACCTACCACTATTCCCTCCCTCAAATCTCTTCCAGAGTCTATTTCTCAGGATGTCCCAAGGCATCTTATCTCTTACTTTACTGCTCCCCGGATGAGTCCTCCACATCCATGTTTTCAGATTCCTGTCACCGTATACTCAATGTCGCACGACATCAACTAGGCCTCAGTTTAGGTCTTGGCCTGAGCTCTTGCTAAATATCTGGATATCCAGCCACTGCCTGGAAATCTGAAACTCATCCGAAAGGGAGCTCACTGTAATTCCCACTTAAGTTCCTCCTTCTCATCTTCTGTGATTTTGAATGGCACCATCATCGACCAGGCTGTTCCAGTCAGCTGTGTGGGTAACTCAGGGCTCCCACATGCCACCAACTCGGCAGAGAGCGTGGGCACCGGGGACCCCCCAGCTACCGGACATTCCTGTTGCTGCGGCCACTGGCTGACTGCTCCTGGCAGAGGCCACCCCTTCCTTCCTCCACTACTTTAGGGGTCTGTCTTTCTCATGCGATAGTACGCTCACTAAGGGCAGAGAATGTGTCACTCTATCCCTGGTCTAGGACAGTTAGACCCCAACAAATATTTGTTGAAGGAATACATAAAAGTATTGACCAGCATGCCCCAAAGCCCACTCTGCTTCACTTCGGACTTCGGACTACCTCATGGTCAGCAGGGCCAGCAGACTGGATCAGGCTGCTTGAGCAGGGACACACCCTCGGCCCAGGCACAGCCTGGCTCCTCTGGGTGGCAACAGCAACAGTAAGGAATGTGTGATTATCCTGCCCGCTTCAACAGATGGTTCTGGTAAGCCCTGCCCGCATTCTCTCCAAGTATCATGAAATATCTGCTACCTAATGAGTAAAAGACACCAAACTGGTGAGAGTGCAGGGAAGAATGAAAACAGACACTGCGTAGGGCCTCCAGGCATTAACGCTGTGAGCGACTAAGGAGAAAAACAGAGACTACAATGCAGGCTTGGATGCTTCTACAGCCTGCACTCTTCCCACTAGATCACAGTAACTCCTGTTCATCATCTCCTATTCACCCATTTAATAAGGTTTGTAATTAAACCATAAGGATCTTTTGTTCCAAGGAACAAAAAGGCTGCAGTTAGGACTGTAGAATCTTCACTTCTTTTAATAGTCTTAAGAAAATAATCGGCTTCCCCAGACGTCACTGGGAGTTCATGGAAACAACAAAACCAGCATCACCATTGATGATACAAAGCTGTCTGGCAGAGTGGAAAGGACAGTAGATTTGGCAGTCAAAGGTCAAAGGTCACCCATGCATAGCCTACTCTGGCCCATGCTGCTGGCTGTTACCATCCACAGGAGTCTAAGCTTCCTCACCTAAAACACGCAGTAACAGTCACGGTCCTATGCAGTGCTGCAGTACACTGTGAGAGCTCACTGAGTAATATCTGAGGTATAGTGAAAAAATGGTAAACCGGCCCTCCCTGGTGGCGCAGCGGGTTAAAATAAAGCACAGCACTGAGAAGCTAAAAGCCACTTCTGCATGAGTTCGATTCCGGCTGGCCCTGGAGGTGATCACATGGCGAGGCAGACGTCTCCTGACCTGCCCGCTGCTCCCCTCAGCAGTGTACTTCGTCCATCTGCCTGTTCTGCTCCCCACTCTGTCTCTGGTGACGCCTCTCGCCACCCCTGAGCCTCTGGCCTGTACCCTAGTTCTGTATGTACAAATAAATAAATCTTTAAAAAAAAAAAAAAAAGGTAAACCACTGTACAGAGCTGAGTCAAGATCATTATTACAGAAAGCAATTTATTACAAGTGTATTCAGTTACTTATCAGGAAAGAAAACTATTTTTCTTACCTGTATTACATCCCCAGCATTAAAACTCATCTCGTCATGGTTCCTTGCTTCAAAGCGATATAATGCTTTGTAATTCACCGAAGTCCTAGACTGCTCGCCTGGAGAAGATAACGGTAATCATTTGCTACTTTCATGTACACACATTTTTGTTATGACTCAATAAAGTGCTCTTAAAATTTAGAAACACAAGCACTACTGAAATCCACTTGATAAAGGCCTGCCAGAATTCAAGTATCTTGAGCAGTCACAGAATCCTGGGCAAGACCAAACAAGGATGCTCATCGTAGGTAGAAGGCAGTTAGACACAGGTGCGGGGCAGGCATGGGGCTGAGGGACCTGAGGGGAAGTAGACTGAGCAGCAGGAGGCTGGTGTGACCCGTGGGAGTCAGAGCATAACAGGGAAGAAAAGCAAAAAGGGGAAGGTCAACCATGCCGAGATCAACAAGCAGACAGAATCAACTGAGAGCGATAGAGTATCTGGGTGGTTCTAAGAGGAACAGATGACAACTCCTCAGGATGTGACATATTTTCCATAATTCATTTACAGAACAAACACTTTAACTGACTTAATTGATTTTCAACATGATGATTCAAAAAGATTCTTGCTTTCTCTTAAGAGAGAATTATTTAGGAATGGATTCTGATATGTATCAAAAACAAAGTTTATCTCCTGGAACGGTGTCAGAGTGCAAAGATTTAAAATTGTATTGCGTATCACTAAAACAGCTTAGTTATACCGATGAACTAAAATATTTACAACTACTTACTTCAACAATAAAGACCCTGCCGTGGTCTGTTCAGTCTGCGACTTTTCTATGTGCTCTACCCTCAGTCTGCTTTTTTTGTTGTTTTCAAGTCTACACACTTCTTACCCAGGTTTGATTTAGAAAAAGATTTTCTTCTGACTCTTAACATTAGCATCTGTTTTCACTTTTCTCTATCTTTGGCCTCATATAAGGCTTTACTTTTTCTTGTTGTTTCTGCTGTCTAGATCAGAAAAAAGAAAATCTGTGATTTTTACTCTCACCCTTACATTGTTTTTCCTCAGCTTTCCGCTCTTCCACTTGAACTTTTTCTTGTGTTTTTTCATCTTGGAGTCGCTTTTGTTTTTCTTCTTCCTCTTTTCTAAGACTTTCTCTCCACAAGTTTTCTTTTTCCTGCTTTGCTTTCCTTTATATAAGAGAAGAGATTGTATATTGTCTTAAAATTTTTTTTACACAAAAATGTAATAGAAGATCTTGTTCCTGGCAGATGGAAGAAGGATTATGCATTTGTATATGAGCTGGTATAATTATTTGTTATAAAGAAAAGTGGGGATCAAAGATGAAGGGGAAAAGCCAATTAACTGAGTAATCAGCAGGAGTGCTTTGGACAAACAGATGAGCTGTTTATCATATTCAAATTCCTTCTTACCAACCAACCTGCCAAACCCATTAAAAACAAAACTCAGTGGTGAGTGGGTAGATGGAGGGGTTAAATGGAACTATTCAGAAAACAAATGTAATAACAACATCTAAATCCTCTTCCTTTCTTTCCAGACTCTTCACAATGACTACTTCCAGCTCTTATTTCCACCATCCCCCTAATTCCTGTTTTCAGGATTCTGTCACTGCTAAAGAAATAGGAAATGATTCTGGACAGATTATTTACTTTGCAAATCATCATCTTAAAAGTCTTTTTCACTGCTAGAACATTTTTCTCTCTACATCTATGCTTCTGTGCATGTTACTATGATATCAGAAAGAGCTGCAGCCCGGCTTCTGGCTGGCCAAGATGATCTGTGATCAGAGTGAATGATTTTATTGTTAGAACTTAGGATCATCATAGATAGCTCTTCCTTGCATATATTATACTTCTCACTCAGGGGTAGAGCTGTCATACTAAATTTAGCAGCCTCAGCTAAACCAAAGCTCTCCAACCCGCAGCATACAGCATACACTAGAGGGCCAGTGCAGGCCAGATATATGCTTGTCTGTATCCAAGGTAGGATCCCTGGCTTTGTTCCATGTCTTCATTCCTCTATTTCCTGGAGTAATTTGGAAATCCTGGATAATTCCAAATACTGTAGCCCCACCTAACCATCCCTAAACTGTCTCCTCTTTCACATGCCTAGTACATTCGTCCTTAACTAGCTTCCTCTCAATCTCCTGCAAAACCTCCTACACCCTCTATCACTCCAGAAAGCATCCTCCCACATTTTCTGTAACTGACATCAGTTCTCTCTTGAGAACCTTCTCTTATAGTCCTTAATGTCAACCAACCACTTACTCCCTTTCCCAATTCTTTGGTAACATTCCCTGCCCCTCTTCCACCCTGAGGATGACCCAATCTAGCATCACCTGAATCCCCATATCCTACAGTCACCACCACCAGAATATTCTTCAGAGTTTTATTGGGATAAAAAAAATATTAGGGAGTTAAGACCATGTAAAATTAAAGTTTGTAAAATTCCTATGTATGGGCCCTCCCTGGTGGTGCAGCAGGTTAAAGCACAGCATTAAGAAGCTGAAGCCACTTCCACATGAGTTCGATCCCCACCTGGGAGGTGACCACATGGCATGGCAGACCTTTCCTGACCTGCCTGCTGCTCCCCTCAGCAGTGTACTTCGACGTTCTGCCTGTCCTGCTCCCTACTCTGTCTCTCGTGAATCCTCTCACCACCCCTGCACCTCTGGCCTGTACCCCAGTTCTGTATGCACAAATAAATACATCTTTAAAAAAAATTCCTATGTATGAGTTGGTGGATGCGAAATTACTCCAGAGACAGAAGACGCCCCAAAAGCTGGGCAAATGGCAAAGAGGCCACATCTACAATATGAAAACGACGACCAGTAGCATGAGACAAGACAGAAACGTCTTGGGCAGATGACCAAGAACTCAGATAGAACCAAAGCCCAGTCTGGATGAATCCCACAAGTGCCTGTTACTAATACGGTAGGCCTGCAGGCCCCAAAGGAGTTGTGTGAACAGCGATGAGGAGGCATCACGGTCTCTGCATCCACTGAAAACTGTGACACACTGACTGGCTCCAGAGGCACGGTGTAGCTCCCTGGGGCGATGCGCAGTGGCACAACCCGCGTGGAAGTCCTCCTAGTCTGAACTCCGCCGCCTCTACTTCTACATTGCTTTACTATCTCTCCTAAGGGCCACAACAGCGAAAACCTTGTAGTGAAGAGTGTCGCCACACTGTGTAGCTGTCAGTCCATGCAGGGATGACGAGTGTGGCGTCAGGAGGAACCCAGAGTCCACGGCATCATGATCAACAGTGGCCACCGATAAAAATGGGCTGGGAATGGTTACTCTGAAGCATTAAGGACAGAGTCCTGCTAACTGGTTGTGTGTCTGTCTTGTTGCCCAGAAACTACTAGCTCTTTTATGGCCATTACTTGTCCACTTTCCTCTAAGGCAAAATTATCAGGCTCATTGGTATCTGTTAACTAGTTATATTAATTCCTGACACAAGGGAACCTGAGTGATAAAGTGGGTCTTACTGACAGAAGAAGGCCCAGCAGAATCTTCAAATGAACAGTTTGAAACCTACTTCTCGTTGTAAGTGGAGTCAACTGAGAAATTTCAGGGGTACAAAGAGAGCCGCATCAACATGGCTTCTACACTCAGTCTTGATGCTGCAAAACTAAGTGTTTGGTTTTATAGTCTTTCAGGGAATAGTAATAGGTTTACTATGGAGAAATGGAAAAACTGACTGCAAGATACTATACTTGGCTTTCAGCAACATCATTTTATTCTCAGTCACCTATGAAGTACGCACTAGTAGTTCTATTTTCCAGATGGAGAAACTAAGGTTCAGAAAGGTAAAGTGACTTAACCAAGGTTATCCAGAGAGTAAGTAGTAGATCAAGAATTCTAACCCAGGTCTGACTCCAAAGGCCGTTCTTTCACTCATTGAATGGTTTTGCCAACTCAACAAAGACTGAATTTTGAAAATGTAAAATCTAGTGTCCCTGGATAACCCTTTTATTTTCCTTTAAATTTCTAGTCAAAAGATACAGAATTCTAACAGCAACAGGGTGCAGTAAATTCAGCTCTTTACCTTGCAGCCTCATCTTCTAGTTTCTTTTTTTGTATTAGTTCTGATCTTTTTCTTTCAATTTCCTTCAGCTTGTCACGTTTGATCTTATGAAGCTGTTCAAGGGCTAACTGCTGTGTTTTGTAGCTTTCTCTCAGTTCCTAAGGAGAAAATGAAAACAAGTCAATGTATTTTGTCTTCAGTAATAATGTGACACTTGTATTCTAAAAGACAAAAATCCTACTGCAAGTCAAACTAAAGCAAGGCAATTCAGTTTAAAAAATATCTTGATGATAAAAGAAACCTTGAATACAACTATTTAACTGATGTAGCCACTGAGGACAAATACATGTTAAAATCACCTGTTTTCATATTAATTTACTTTTAGAGAATGCTTGGCCAATTCTTTAATTTGGTACTTTGTTTTCAACAGGAAAGCAATCTATCAAAAACAAGGAAATAATCTGTTGTTAGAACACTTGAAAAAGTTTGCTCATTCATATGTTTCACATCTGTATTTAACCAAGTTAACCATTACTTTTATCCAGTAAGAGACTGAACTAAACACAGAAACAAGTTATTGGGTAACTTGACTCAAAACTAAAAATGGAAAAAACTAATGTCTGCCTAAAGCCAGGATTATAATGAGCTAAAATAATAAAAATTATTCCAAACACAAAATGAAGAAAAGACTTGCTTATTAAGCTCAGTTCTATACAAAACGTTATAAAGACTCACAGGGGTTTGATCCAAGGCCCTTTGACTCCCAAGTGTGTATATATTTATCTTTGCTTTCTACATTCTCCAAGTACAGAAAGGTGTCAAAGTGTAGCATATCATCTTCTTTCTGTCTTCCAACAGCATCCTTTCTCCTTTTGGGTATGTGACTTCTCCGCTCTGACCCAACTCCCACTCCATGTAGTTTTAGGGGGTCTGTCACATGAAGAATTCCTCCCAACCCCACCCAGGTGTGGTCACTTAATCCAGGTCTAACTGGTCACAGCATGTCACCTCCCTGGCCACAGGCCTGTCCAAAGGGTATGTACACGACCCAGGCTGGGGTCAATCAGCTGCACTGAGGAGGAAAGAGAGGCCTTCCTTTCTCAAGCTCATGAAACTGGGGTAGGGAAAACCTAGAGAGTCCCCACTGCTGAGTGAGGTGTGAGGGGGCAGAGAGAAGCAAAGATGGAGAGAGAAAGGCAGAGACAGAGTCATGGGGCAGGGGATCATCAGAGTGAAGCAAAGATGGAGAGAGAGGCAGAGAGTCATGGGAGAAGGGATCATCAGTGGTTTCTCAGTGCCAGGGTCTTCTACTGATGCAGCTACTGCTTCTAGGCCACTTCTAATCACACTCTCTTCAGCTTAACTGTTTTGAAATGAGTTTCTTCTACTTGGAATCTACAGAATCCAGAACAGAGAGTAGAAAAAAGGGGCTGCAGTAAAGAAGAGAAAACAACTCAAAAACACACAAAAGAACTAAAGTAATCAAAAAAGGCATCATGGTGAAAGTGGGAGCTCAGGAAGTATCTGGATAGAATCTTCTGGTAAAAATATTCTTGGGCATCTACTCACGTACAACAACAAGACTCCAAACTGAAAACAACAACAAAACTATTTCTTTTCAGAAATAAAATATTTTACAGGCGAACACTTTTAACTTGACTGAAATGACAGGTCCAGTTGAGTGCAGTGCGGTCTCATACATGTGCAAAATGCCTGAGGGCGAGACTTGCACCTTCGTCCATAAAAACACAATCACCACACGCGCAGCAGCTCCCACAGCACTCAGCCGCCGTGGCTCCGTTGGTCGCAGCTTTCTCTACACCCCCCTGAACAGCAGAATATCGTGGTTGTAACCGGTGCAGCAGCAGCGCGGCGAGGGATGAGAGCAGGGTCCGAGGCCCAGCAGAGACCGAGCACCCTGGGGAAGTTTCCTCATCTGTACAGCGGCCTCACAGGGCACGCGTATCGCTGCTGTGAGGACCGAGTGGACCTACCCTCTCACAGAGCTCACCGACAGTGAGAAGAGTAAGTTCTCAACCAGTATTGGCCATTGTGACTGGCTGGAGTCATAAATGAGGAGAACTCTAAATTTGAGAGGTGAGTAAAGGTGGCGCAGGTTAGTGTCTGGGCCTCACTGAGCTGCGAGGTTAGTCCCTAACACGCTGCTCCGGACCTCCAGTAGCCCCTCTGCTCCAGGGTCTCACTGGATGAGCACTCTGCATCCCTGTCCCAGGCATGTCTGCTGCCTGTGCTTGCCTCCTGCGCTGCAGAGTTTCTGGACAACGGGACTAACGTCCGTCCAGGCCCTAGAGGGCCGATTATAGTGCAAACACGCTATCTGAAAAGCTAGTGATAGCTCACGCACACTGCCACGAGTTGAAGAGTGCCACCACGTGTCCCCAAGGCGTGCCTGCCGACTGCAGGGACCCCAGGGGCTCCTATCTTAGACTCACCCCTGGGATTAGGTCGTTGATTCAGGAATCCAACTGGTTAACAAGAAAAAGTAAACCAATCAGCACTTACGAGCAAACCGTCTTCAGTCAGCAGAAGTGACAGATTATCCTTTTCAGGTTAAGGCAGTTCTCTTCAATTCCAAATTTACCATTAAGTTTTTCATTTTTGAATCATGAATGGGTGCTAAATTTCTGCATCTAATTATATGAACATACTTTAATCTGTTTAATTCAGCCCATTACAGCAGACATTTTTGTATGTCAAAACAGTTTTGCATCCTTATGATAAATCTATCTTGGTCATAAGAGATTTATGACTGTTTGTCTTTGGCCTTTTAGTATGTTTGGAGACTTCCTCTCTGTGTTAAACTGGCTTCTAATTATTCTCCTTAGTCTCTTCTATCAGGTTTGAGATCATATTCATAACAGTATCATATGATGCCCTCGGATTATTCTGCCTCCTTCCTGTACTTTGAAAAAGCTGTATAAGGCTGAAACTACTTACTCCTTCAGTAAAAACTATGGATCTGGAGTCTATTTAGGGGGAGATCTGAACTACAGTTTAAAATATTTCAGATTCAACATTTTAAATTGTTCAATTTCTTCTCAATATTTGAAAATGGCTTTGGCAAGAATGATTCTCCTCTATTATCTGGGTTGCAGTAAAATTATTAACTTATACTAGACCTAAATAAAGCAAGAATGTATACTATAACTTCTTGGATACCCACCAATTCAGGGGTGCGTGAACTTGAACAGGGATAAAATCATGCCTCTCGTGCAGTAACCTCTATCTGAAGTATAGCCTCTCCTTCAACTCTAACTATATACAACAAACCATAGGGACGCTGGCTGTGCTTGTGATGTTTCTCACCAACACAAGCAGATACTTTCCTCTTATATTGCAGATAACATCGTGTATGTGTTTTGTACAACCTGACTTCAACAGTATGGCATTATACCTGTTTTCAGAGCCTATTTTTAAATTCACGAATACAGAAGCACATATATTGCATTTAAAACATTAGTCTGGAAAGGGGTCCAAAGATATTACCAAACTGTTGAAAAGTCTGTGGCAGAAGAATGGTTAAGAGTCTCTCATTTAAAAACAAATGTTTCTCACCCATGCTTCCCAGCAGTTCTTCTGGCTCACACCTCCTATTATACCCTACCTGGGAGGAACGAGGGAGACCTCAAACTCTCTGAAGGAGGGAAGGGAACACTTCCTTAACAGTTAAATTACTGGGTTGGGAGATGTGTTTTTCTAACATCTAATATGTAGGTCATTCACATTTCTATTTTATAATCCAAAGGACTTGGGGTTGCTGAGCCCCAGTTAGTCCTATTCTTGCCTGTAAAAATCTCACTTGGTCTCTAATGTATGTAAGTTACCCCAGATCCTTGGAGTAAAGGAACCAAACTCTCTGGAGTAAGCCATAATCCTGGAATCGACAGAGTCCATTTTCCCTCTAAGAAAAAGTACTTCTTGAATCATTCATTTTCCAAAGTCAACAGCAGTGACTTCTCAATGCATTAAAGGTATTGTGGAGATTCAAGATAGTATCTTTCCAAATGAGAACAACAAACATCTGTATAGTGCCTGACAGTTGACAAAGCACTTCCATATATGTGTTAGCTCATTTAATTGTAAGGCGCAACGGAGGAGACAAAGCAGATACTGTGAGCTTCATTTTTGTAAATGAAGAAAGCAAAATTTGGAGGTTAAATGACAAACACGCAAATGCAGCAAGCGGCATGTACAGGACAAGAACTCACTTCCTGAGATTCCTAGACAAGCACTGCTTTGGTGAACCTCACTGCTAACGACAGCAGGGCGTGTCTTTCCCGAGTGGGAGAGTAGTCATCCAGTGTTTCTGAATCCACTGGCTTGTTACTTGTTTTGTGCACTTAACAAGCAAAACAACAAAAATTAATGTTGATCCTGTCATGACTCCAAGGGTCCAAGAGAGCATGGTTTCTTGAGATAAAGAATTTAATCATTATACTTCTGTACTCACTTTAACTGGCCCGAAGATGTGCTTACAACTAGACAACCCAACTTTGGTGGAGAAAAAGCACCCAATCAGTTGAGTGTGCCATTTTCAGCTCAAGAGAGGGAGAGAAGAAAGGAAGGAAGAGAGAGAAAAGGCAGTGGAGTTATTCCATGTCCTCAACTCCCCAGGGAGATTACTTATAATGATTCAACTTATATCTGATTGTAAGTCTTGAAGCTTTCTACTTTCCACCAGTTTAACGACATTCACACCTATATTATCCCCACACATTACACTGGAAATCGTCTTTGTATCTGCTCCTTCAGCCCACAATGTGGACGATTACGGAGGAACTTGGCTCTATCAATTATCACCACTTATATATTCAACATTAAGCTCAGTCCTACTTCTTCCCTTTGTCTCTATTGTCTCCTTCAAGCCTTCCACTTTTTTTGTTGTTGCAGTTAACAAAGAGCTTTTACTTAAAAGAAGAAATGACACAGAGTTGGAAGTGTTCCCAAAATCTTAGATACATGCTTGTTTTTGGACATATTTTCTTCTACATTTTTTCTCATATACTTTACATAAACCTAAGTGCTGCATATTTTCTGACTGAGAATACTGACAACCATTCATTCATTCATTCAACAAGTACTTATTGCCTCTCACTGTGTTTCATGGTCTGTTTGAGGTGTTGGGAATTCCGCAATGACACATTTGGCTTAGTAAGACAATCATCATTAAGGCACTGAGGTGGATATGGTTAGTTCCCCAGCCAGCTCAGTTTTCATTTCCATTAGTCTGTTCTAACAGAAAATTTCCCTTCCCCATGCAGCCATGTGCCTCACAGAAAGAGGTTGATGCCACCTCTGTGGGTGGGCTCAATTATTTTCCTCCAGCTTTACTGAAGCATAATTGACAAAAATTGTGTACATTTAGGCTATAAAATTTGTTTCAATTTATGCATACAATTTGAAATGATCACCACAATCAAGCTAGTTAAAAAGAAAAGCTGCCTTTTCTCTTTCTTCCTTCCTTTCTTCTCTCACTCTCTTTGGGGGAGGGGTGAGAATGGTTATGATCTACCCTTAGCAAATGTCAAGTGTACAGTATTATCTGTAGCCACCATGCTTTACAACAGCTATTAGATCCCAGAACTTACTCATCTTTATAACTGAAACGGTATTGTTTGTTCTTCAAGTCAATTCAGAAAATAAAATGTACTGGCTTCACACTGTCTTTTCACTCTCCTCCTAAAAAGTGTTGAAGCTCACTTTAACCTTCCTCAACTCCCATTCACTCCTGATCTGTGGCAATCCAGCCTCACTGATCATTCACCTGAAACGGCACTTTTTGAAAGGTCCCCAAAGGCCTCCTTGTTGACAATTCAGTGGATATTTACAATGATGGTCACAGAAGGCCTATTCACTTGCTTTCTGAGACATCATCTCCTGGACACTGTGACAAGATTTCACCCCTGCTTAGCTTCTTAAATTGTCTCTGATTAAAGTATCAATAAGCAGTGAAAAGCTGGAAGGCAGGAAGCAGAAGGAAGAAAGTAAAACAAGGAGACAAGAATACTCTGCTGGCCTGTGGAGAATCAAATGCTAACTGAGAAGATCAAACTTACATGGGTGTGAATACAGTCCACAAGTTATTATCAAAGCTCATTTCATATATGAACAAATTTAGGTTTAAATTTCTGTGTAATCTGTGGCAAAAGTTCTAAAACCAGATAATCTGGTCATTTGTGCTACAAGCAGAAAGGAGAGTCTAATAGAATCTTTCCAATTTGCCCTACCTTTGCTTAGGTAACAAATGAGCTCTACTTAAATGTGTTCCCGCCTTTTACTGTGCCCAACACACTCTCTCTCCTGTCATTCACACAAACGCTACTAGAGTCAGCAAGTAGCAAATATAAAGTACCTTTCTTTAAACTATATTAAGCAGAATTCAGAGTACTTTAAATATCCTGTACTATTGGAGACAAAGTGAATTGCTTATTTATGCTGTGATTTAAACACTTAATGGAATTTCAAGGGAGTCTAAATATGAGTTCTGATAAGTAATGAGATATAACTAAAGCTGCCCCTGCAGTCGTGGTTCCTTTAAGATTTTCCTCAGATTACTCTTCAGTGTTGAGGAGGAGTCAGGCATTACATGACACAACCTTGCCCTAGATTTCAGAAAGCATACGCTCTACACAGTGATTTTCAGTGACACTGCAGACGGTTCTAGCTCACATTCCCTCAGCTTTCTGTGAGTTGAATTTGTAATCACCCCATCAGTTACCCCAATTCACAGGGATGCTGTCAGGGAACCAGATACTTAATTGCCTTGGGTGCCTCATGACAAAGGCTATTTTGGGCAACCCTACAGATTCTGGCATTAGACTCAAACAGGCAGTTAGACAGCAGAAGGATACTCAAGCAAGCAGAAAGAAAAAAGGTCTACATCGTATATGTTATTTCAAACAAAGATATTCTGATAAATGCAAAGAATAGTCTAGTTTTTAAAAAACGGAAACAATAAAGTAACTCAAAGAAAAGGAGCTAGATATTAGAAAATAACCTTAAGTAAGAGGAAGAGGTTGTTGAGACAGCTTAGCAGAGACAAAAGGCACTGGAGAACAGAGTCATCCATATTCCCACACTGTAAGATAAGGCAGATAAAAAGCCAATTAAACTATGCACAGATGCTTAAAAAAACAATGAAGGGAAGATAACTTGGTTGGCTTTTCTGTCCATCAAAGACAAATTATGAGGAGGTTAAATGTTTTTCCTACAGAATATGTACTTGTGTAAAATTTATTATTAACAGTAGATACCTCAAATTTCCCCTCCTTAATTAAAACCACCTACATCTCTTTATCACACTGTTTACTTTCTAGTTGATGTAACTTTATTCTAAATAACTCAGCAAGATAAAAGTCACATGAAGAGAAAGTTACCTGAAAAGCTATGTAAACTTTACAACAGTTAACAAGGGAATAACTGAGACAATTCCCAAATTTGAATTGTCACTAGTCGGATTTTAGCTTTTAAGATCTTCTTTCATGGCTCTGGCCTCTTTCTGTATACAGCTAATTCTGCACAGAATGTTAATCACATGGAATATGTTTCAGACATCTGCTTTGCACTGCAGCAGTTAGTCAGGAACTAACAACTTTTCATGCAATTTGTAGTGTCAGATTATGTTTTTGATTTCACTGATAAATACATCATTCCCATAAAGGTTAATTTAATTATCACAAGGAAACAAAAAAGATTGTAGTCTTTTTTAAAAGTCTCTATCACCATGACTATTTTAAATTTCCATACTTCCAATCTTAGAATTTTGCCTCAGAACATGCTGGCTGAGGTCAGTTTTATAATAATGAGAAAGGCAATTATCCTTAAAATGCATAACTGCCAATAAAAAAGTCATCAAAAGATGGAAACTATGGTAAATGACATGTTTAGTTGTATGACACAACCTTTATACTATCTACATCCAACATTAATAGCGAGCTCACACTTGTAACTCAAATTATAAACTACGGAAATATACTACATGTAACAATAACAGCTTTGGTTATTCATTCTACCAAAATAAAATAAGGAAGGTAAGAAGGCAGCAAACTAAAAATGAATTTAGTAGGAGACAAATACCTTTAGTTGATTGTTAAATGAATCCATTTCAGAGAGTTTAGCTGCAGTTTCTTTTTCAAGAGCATCTAACTGTTCTTTAAGTCTTTGGCATAATTCTTCTTTTTCTAGTGATTTTTTATGAAGTAAACCAATGCCCAAATCTGAAATATAAACAGACGATTTACATTTGGTAGAAATTCCGACGTCACTGCTGTCTGGTCATATTGGTAAAAATAGAAAAAGACGAAGGACTTATATGCATGTTGAGGCCTGTTGGAAAAAAACAAATCAATGATCATTTCTCTTTCCCAGATAGTATTTTGGGAAGCTCCTTACAGAGAAATGTTATAAACACTGGTTCCATCCTCAAAAAACTTACACTTCTGCTTGGATAAGGCACTTTACTTAATCTGATTCTTGAGCTCTTAGTATTTACTATTACTATTGTCTTAATGTGTATTTTCTTGATAATACTGAAATTGAATAACTATTAATTTCTATGCAGTTGGCTATCACCTACCTCCCTTATCATGTGACGGACGTGCCATTCTAGGTACAGGGGCTGGCCCACAGTAACTGTCAATTAGAAGCGGCTTTCCATTTAGTTAGTGCTCCCAACAATAAGGGAATAATCACAGCAAGTACTCAACAAATATCACTAATTAGATTACTTATTAAAATTATTTTAGAAGGTAAGAAGAAAAAGCTTTATTTTATAAGAGCTTTTCTTACATATTCATGCAGGAGTAGAGAAATTAGAAACATATGATACATATTACAATAAATTAACAACAGTATTTAAAAACAGTGTTATTACAAATATTTTTAAACTTGATCAATTTGAGAAGTACAGAAATCCAGACTAAATTTAAATGAAGCATATAGAATTTAAAAAAATGAGAAGTAAAAAGAGGAGTTTCTCTTTGCCTCACCTTCCAGCTTACTGTCCCGTAGGCCTTTATTTACAAGTAGGTATGTGCACATTCTACTTTGATTTCTATAGAGTTTTCTACACTCCTTGGCAATTAATTTTGAATTTAGTAACATAGTTTATCAACCAAGACCTACAAATCTGGCTCAAAACTGCTCCATGGTCTGCCAAATTATGACTACTGCTTAATTTATGAAACTAATCCCTTTCTGATTGACATTTGATTATTTCTAATTGCATACTAGTACATAAAAATGCTGCAATAAACATCCCTATTTATACATTTTAATGCACATGGGAAAACATTTTATAAGAATAGGGAACAAAAAGACTTGCTATGTAAGAAGTTGTGACTACTTTAAATTTTGAGAGAAACTGTGAAATGCCCTTCCTAAAAGCTGTGCTAACATAGAGCAGCCACGATGCCTGTCCACGTACCGTGCCGAGAATGCATATAATCAGTCATTTCCACCGTTTTACTAATTGGCAAAAAAAAAAAAAAGCTATCTTGTTATTTGAATTTGTATTTTCTTTGTAACTATTGCAACAGATTATTTATTTATATGTAATCAGCCATCATCCTGAATCCCTTAGTCTCATCCTTTGCCAGTTTCATTTTTTTTCTATTAGGCTACCTTTACTTTTGATTTATAGAAGCTATAAAAATTCTTGTTTTATTGTATGTACTACAAAATTTTTAAATCCTTTTTTGGGGGGGGAAATAGGAATTACGGCAGGTGACTTGGACAATTATGGAGCGGAAAGGGAAATAGCATGAAAGAAAAAAGGCACTTCTCTTCCATTTTCAAATACATTTTATTTTCAACTTTCCTTCATGAAATACTAATATTCCAATAAGCTACTTATGTATGTAGTATAATAAGGAACATCTAAAACACTCTATAAAATCTGTATTATTGGGTTCTTAGCCTTAAAAAGTTTACTCAAGAAAACCTGAGAATATAAAGCAGCAGAGAAACAGGGGACCCTAATACTACCGCCTAAAAGTACTCACCTTGCTGTTACATTTCTTCTCAGTATTCAGAGCCATGAAATTAAAATATACTGTACCAAATTCCACATCCTCATTTGTCACTACCATGTTCTTCTGTCACTCTTAAGTTCTGTTAATTGTTAATGCCTAAACAACTTCCATATTACTATCATAATTTTCTTCTCTATGTCCTATCTCTGAAAATTTTAATGTTGTTTCCAGTTGAATGAATTTTACATAAAAACAAGATAAGCAACTGATTATCTCCTTGAAATAAATTCAAGACCAACACTATATCAAATGCAAATATCGTCAAACTGCTTGCTAAGAAGTGTGTCCTTTATACTCGTGCAAGCAGTATGAAATTTACTCACTCATTCACTACATAAGAATCAAATTTATAGGTCACATAAGCTCTTTGCTTTATTTCTATTTCACTTATGATTCAAATACTTTTCAATGTCAGCATCTTCTTTTAAATTTGTCCATAGATAATCTTTGCCCAACTATGCTTTAAGCATTTATCCTTAATTTTTAATTACTCTGCTCATCAAGCATTTAACAAACTAAGGCTAGTAATCCTTTACCAGACAACAATAAATTGATAATAGCTATAAATATTTAACTTAACTACCAATTATAAAATAAGTTTCCCTTTCAAAATATAGAGAAGGTTGTCCTCCTTTCCTTATTATAGAAAATATGTTTTTACTTCCCAGCATTTGGTATGTCTTGCCAGGAAAGTGGAATCTGGAAATATTTAAGCCTCTCATATTATGAAGATCATAATTTTAAAAAGTTGCTTTTACTGTGAAAGTAACATTCTTAATCAATTTCCATAATAAAAATGCACTTTCACAAATCAACAAACAATTCAAAGAAGTCTTGTTGCCCAGTAGTAAAATGTAGTCCCACAGCAGAATTAAGCAACGCTATGGTGTTAAATTAACGGAGAGATGGTAATCATCATCCCACAGTTTCCAACTTGAATGTTCAAGTTACAGCAGTCAGTTACATCTATCAGTAAAATTTTGGAGCTGTACATTTCCTCTTTGTTCGTGATGATGGCAATGCTAATGTGAAAGGCCCCTTTCCCATGATACTTTCTAATTAAGTATCTTTGATATACAGTAAAGTGACTCAATTTTATATGCTTTGTATCCAGGCACTTAGCTAAATTCTCTTATAATCTAACAGTTTTCCAGCACTTCAACAAATATTTAATCATTACACATCTCCCATATGCAAGGCACTGCACTGAAGTCTGTGGCAGGTATAAAAAGAAGGTTAAGGAGGGTTCTGTCCTCAAGTAGTTCAGAGTCTTGCTAAACTGGAATATATGTGAAAAACTGATAGCAAAAGAGCATTCAATCTTAGTGTTCTTCAAACTGAGCATCGTTTATTAATGGACGTTAATATCAAACACGATGACAGCATACAATCGTGCACTGTGCTGAGTACCTGCAACTGCTTTAAAGACCAGGCGGTGTAGCAGGCATCGGAGAGACAAGGCAATTTGGGATCTACCATCTCAGGCCACGACTTGAGCTCTCCAGGCCTCAGTTTTGCTGAGCTATGCCATGGCACAGTACCAAGGCCACCGGGCTGTTGTAAAGATGAAAGGAAACAGTGCACAAAAGCTGCTGAGCACAGCGCTTGGCACGTGCTCGGCAATTCAAGTGGTAGCTGTGCCAGCGTCATCTATGGAGGCACATTCCAAGCAATTCTGAACTGTAGAGCAAGCAACCAGCAGTCAAATTATCAACAGATACGCGTTGAACGAGATCACGTTCACACAGAAGTATTTCCACTGGTCCCCTACACACTAACAGCAACAACACCACGCTCATTCCTCTCTCCACCGCACAGATGAGGGGGGCTGGTTCAAGCTGCCTGTGGAAGGGTGGGGGGCACTGACACATTCTTAACAGTCAGGAAAGGACCACGTGCAAGGGAGACCGTCTGAGACAGATGTGCCATTGGTGAGAGGTGGAGGGTGTCACAGTAAGAGGAGTGAATAGGCTCACACTCCTATTCTGTGACGTTTCTCCCGTGGAAGGGCCTTTTCCTATGACAACATTCCCAGTACTTCCACCATGCGCCCACTGGTGTGCTCCAGATAAGACATGCTCAGACACAGCCTTGAAGTGCCCAGAGAGGATCTGTGTCTTGCTGTGGTCAAGTGGCCAGTGACCCACAGCTGCTCTGCTCACAGACACGCCACGGGGCCTGGGGTGTATACAGATAACCTGCTGATGCCTGCTCTCTCAGTCAGTCTTGCTCCTTTGTCTGACTTCTCAATGTTCCAAGTCTGGACAGAGAAAGGGGACGCTGTGTCCTGGCCCTTCTAAACAGCCAGAGTGTGATAAAGAACCCTAGAATGAGGAGACTGCTACTTAGTGGGAGACTTGTAGGATACTTTAGGTAGTTCTAACACTACTGAAGTAGACTGCTTTAAATAAACCGTTCTTCCATGATGCTCTTCACATGCTATCCAAAGCTAAGAGGTTTGTTTCTTTTTTTAAGTTTTCTAGTGGTATTTGAACCAATTAAGTGTTACATTTCCACTGATCATCTTGGAATGTGTTGTTCCACAGGTATCAGAAGGTCAAGATGGTAAAATGTTTTCTACAGATCATGGAATTAGAGAATAAAAAGGTCTGGGAAGGACATACTAACCACTGCTGTACACTATCACCCCACATCACCCCACAACCCCAATCGTCTGGCCACATAGTAACTGTCTTTATGAATTATGCAGGATTTTGCCAAATTTACATATGGTCTTGCAAGAGTCAGACCTATATCTTTTTGCCTGCAGCTTAACAGTCCCTTGACTGATAATAAAAATGCATAAAAATGTTATCAAGATAAGAAGAGATTACCACAATTATTATTTATGTTTATTTACCTTTTATTACTAAAGTGTTCCATCGTGTGAGAGTTTCCATTTTTGGCATTTTTTTTTAAAGATTTATTTATTTATTCATATAGAACTGGGGTACAGACCAGAAATGCGGAGGGTGAGAGGATTCACCAAAGACAGAGAGGGGAGCAGAACAGGCCGACTGATGAAGCATACTGCTGAGGGGAGCAGCGGGCGGGTCAGGAGAGGTCTGCCACGCCATGTGGATCTCCTCCGGGGCAGGCGGGAATCGAACTCATGCGGGAGTGGCTTAAGCTTCTCAGTGCTATGCTTTTACCTGCTGCGCCACCAGGGAGGGCCCTCCATTTTTGGCATTTTTAACCACAGACCAAAAACTGGCCTAGCAGTGTTACAAAGGGACAGGACAGGACAGATGCAGGCCCACAGACAACAACAGAGGTGAAACAAACCTTGGAGACTTACCTGGTGTATTACCGAGCTGCATGTTTTTAATTTTTTCATTTAACAATTGCTTCTCAGGTACCAAATAGATAAGCTTGTTTTGATATTCCTTATAAAAAAGAAAAAGTAGAGCCCATTAAAACTTTGTAATGTGTAAGAATTTTCTGAAACTTAAAAATATAGTTTAATCACTTTCAAAACAGTATAGAGAGAATATCTAGCAATAAACTGCTTCTGACTTACGAATAAGCTAGAATGGAATTATGTACAACTTTAAACACACAAAGCCACTTTTGAATGACAGGTAGAAATTAAAAGGTGGGGACGAAAGTCTTTATTAGTGGGAGTGTGTCTGGAAGCTTTATGGTTTTCTGAGCTCTGACAACACAAGAAAACACAGGCATAGCTAAGAGAGACATGAGGTGGGCACTGAGTGAGAGGCTAAGCCGGCCACGGCACTCTGGGTGACCATGGGCATCAGAGAGGGACTGAAGCCAGGGGCCACCTAGGGGCAGGTAGACGCCTCGTCGGGAAAGTTATTTTGACCTGTGTCTATATCTGTTGCGAACAAAGTGACAAAGCTTCGGTTCACACAGAAAGAGCAATTTACTGAGAAGACTCAGAGAAGCCAACATTTCCCAAAAGCAGCAGCAGTAGCTCAGCAGTAGCTCAGTTTAAGGTACAGGCAGGCATAGACATATATTCACAGAAAGCTTAAAACTAAAGCGATAAATGTCCACTGGGAAAACGCTAGGTAGAACGTAACCCCAGCAGTAGAGCAGAGTGTCAGGGCGTCTGTGGGCTTCCTGACAAGGACTCAAGGTTGTGTGTGTTTACATTCTTCTAGGAAGGAGGTAAGTCAGAGACTATAGGGACTCATGACCCCAAAAGCAAAATCCACTCAATTAGGAAGAATTATTCCTGACTGATCGTGCTTCAGGACCATCCAGCGGCCAGGAATTTACCTGAAGTTCTTGCTGAAGCTGCTTGATTTCCATTACTTCCAGGTCACACTGCTTATCCAAGACTTCCAGCTCAGTCTTCTGCGTTTGCTTTCGGAGCCGCACATCCTGCAGGCGGCCTGAGACTTGCTGGTGTTTGCCGTTCTGCGGGAAGGGCACAGAGACACGGGGTAACATAAAGGCTGCCAGGAAAGGGCCCCATCAGGACGACAATCTTTTCATTTAAAGGTCCCTTATCGCTTATTCTCAGTCTGAGATATGTTTGTGTAAATCTTTAAAATGTACATCCTTTGTACATGCATCCATTTATATGCTTTAGAGTTGTGTCTGTTAACTTAGGCGAGTCTGAGCAAGAGGCTAGAGCTCAAAGAGCCTAAGGATTCGGATGAGAAAGCAGGAACGTAACACAGTGAATCTGTTTCTGAAGTCAGCATTCAGGCCTCACTTCTAGTATTAAAATAAAGACTTTTATTTTCAAAGAATAATAGGACAAGTAAATGGACCATTTCACATTACTTTCCCTGAGCTCTATTTCTACCCTCAATGCTGCTGACTGACTGCTGCCAACGTGTACTGGAGGGCCTTTTTGGCCACAGCTCTCTTCTGTACAAATGTTCTTTCCCTTTCTAGTAAGAGACAGGAGGGGAAATCCAGACAGATAGTGGGGAGGCTCAAGGAGGCTGAGGCAGGAGGTGCGTTCACAGGCTAAAGGGCCCCACCTCCTCACTTTACATGTCAATGTCCTAACCCCAGGCTCTTAAAGATCAATGGGGACAGGGTCTTTAATGAGGTCCAGGAGTAGCCCAGATCCAGTCGGGTATGCTGATGAGGAGAGAGGGAAAGTTCAAGGAGCAAACATGGGAAGGCCATGCAGGCAGAGCGAGGTGTTGGTGCAAACTTAGGGGAGGGGACTCAGAAGAAACCAAACCACCTTGATCTTGGAATTCAAGCCTCAAAAACTGAGAAAACGAAAAGGCACAAAATTATGTAAAAATAAGTATTATATTAAAATCATAAAAAAAAAGAACTGAGAAAATGAGTTTCTGCTGGTTTAGCTACCACGTCCTTGGTACTTTGCTACTGCAGCCTTAGCAAGCCTTAGCAGCGGGGTGAAGAGAAAGGAGATTCCTGCCTAAAAATCACAGATAGTGGAAGATATTACTGAAAAGCAGGTTTCATATTTGAGAAATTCATGCTAATAGGAATATACTGTTTCATGTTACAGCTTCTGTTGTTCTCTCCAGCATGTATAAATAGGCTCTGGAACTGTCCATACTCTGCACATTAATCTATGCTACTGCTTGGTGCATCTTTCAGTAAATTACCAAAATGAACATCACAAATGGAGAGAGGGGAGAGCCCGGCTATACATTCTCTAGGTCTTTCAGGAAACACGGGAGTCACTCCTTGCCTACCTGTGTGAATCTGCAAAGTGATCCTGCAGACATCAAGGGGTACACACTGCTTAAGAGGGAACGCCCCACACATGTTACCATGGCAAAACTGAGGAGGCAATTTACCCAGCATGCAGCTGGCATTGGTGGAAACAAACTAGTAAAAGGCAAGATTCTTGCCAAGACAGCTAACATTCCTATGGAGCACTAAGCATCTAAGAGCTGAGAGCTTCCTGAAATCTGTAAAACAAAATGATCAGGCAAGAAAGAAGCCCGAGAGACAGGGGCTTGGGTTGCAACGGGGGCAGCCGCCCGTCACAGAGCAGCACACATGAGAACCGCTGGAAAGGGGCCTGAGCTGCTGGGCCCACCCCCATGGATCATAGTGTGGGAAAAAATACTCAAATGCCTCTAAAGTACTAGGAAAAAGAACCACAGTTCTGCAGTGATAGGAGATCAGGTAGGTCAGCAGTTGCAAGTCATTTTTTTTTTCTAGCAACAAAACTCTTTTTTGCAAACAAATGTTAGATAAAACTCTCATATGTAGAACAGCTAAACATGAAAAACTCCAGCTTGTCTGCTCTGAGGCGTAGGAAGAGCAGGGCGAGGAGAGCACCGTCTTGCTAGCATAACTTCCTCTCTACCTTCTGGTTCTTTCTGTAGATCAGCTTCCAGAAACCAGCTTGCAAATTGAAAACTGTAACCTACTGCAACCCTTTATTTTACTGTTGGGCAAATGAGGCACAGGGAGGAGGTTGTATAGCTAATGGGCATCTCAGCTGAGGCCACAACAGAATTCTCAGCATCTTCAGTCACTATCTCTCCCTCTTTAAAAAAGATTTATTTTACTTATGCCTACAAGGGCTGGGGCTGCGGCCAGAGTGTGGGGGGTTGGGTAGGTAGGGATGGTTGGGGAGATGAGATGATTCACCAGAAACAGAGTGGGGAGCAGAACAGGCAGATCCACTGAAACACACTGCTGAGGGGAGCAGTGGGCAAGACAGGAGAGGTCTGCCGCGCCATGTGGGTCACCTCCCTGGCCGGGGATCCAACTCGCTGCAGTGGCTGCTGATAGCTTCATAGTGCTGAGACTTAACCCTTGAACCTCAGGGAAGCCCAATGAACTGTACTATCCAGACTGTTAGTGGAAAAGTCATGATGTACTTATGCTTGAAAAACATTGAAAAAATATGTCTTGACTTTTCTGAACCCAACATATAAAAAGAGAATATGAAAATATGAATGCATAATACAGTAAATCGCACTCCTAAGTTTTAAAAACAGTGTCATTTTTTAACAGGTCACTCTGGCATCATCTGGATAAATTCCACTCAAATTCTAGCCATACCAGTACTTCCAACTCGAGGTGCAGACTCTTCTTTTTAGAGTTTAACCTGACGATTTCTTCCTGCTCTCTACTCCTCTGACTGAGAAGCTCCTGTCGACGAATCCTCTCCCATTCCAACCGACGCTGCCGCTCAAGCTCCTGTTTTGCTGCCTGAAAACAAGGACTTAATTTTTAAATGAACGATTTTGCATAATTCGAAAACTAATGGGGTGACAGAGATTAAGGTGAGGCAGAGTCTGGCCCTCAGTGGGCCTGAGTGCCCACAGGTAACTGGGGCCTGGTTTTACCAGTGGACCCACGGTAAAGACTTCCACAGAGCAACTTGATCCGTCAGCCTTTCTGACCATCTCTCAAAACCAGCCTCTCGTCGCTGTTACTTTTCTCTTAAGAGCAGAGGGCCAAGTTCACCAATCTACATGCTAAGAGGAACAGTCACCCCTTTACTCTGACACTGCACACTGCTTCCGTGCACTGCACTTCACTGTGTCCCCCCCAGCCCTGGAAGCACCGCTGTTCCTCCTGGGGACACAGCAGGCCACTCCCCAAGCGAAGCTCTTGACCTCCCTCCCTCTCCACGCCTGACTCCCACCTTCCCAGCTCCCCGATTCTGTCTCTTACTCTGGATCCTGAACTTCTGTTTAGGCCCTGCTCAGAGGGACTCCCCACTCTGCTCACCAACGCTAGCCCCTCACTCACTCGAGCAGCTCTGCAGTCAGCCCTCCCGTGACCGACGTCAGTGGCAGGAAAGTCCTCCCTACCAGTTCGCTGGCCCCAAAACCCACCCTTCCAAGCAAGGACCCTTCTTCCCAAGGGACGAGAGATGCGTATAAAAATGAATGACACCGTGGAAAAGACACAACAAAAACAAGCATTTTTTAAATTGAATGAGATTGTACTGACGGCTAAATGGAGTGATTTTTCTTAGGGAATAAAAAAGAAATAACCTCTCGTCTTTCTATCTCTTTCCTCCTCTCTTCCTCCCGTTGTCTCTCCAGTTCCCGCTGCTTCTCCAGGCGCTTCTCTAGTTCCAGCTGCTTCTTCCATTCTTGCTCCTGTAATTCCCGCTGCTTCCGCTCCCACTCTTCCTTTTCCTTCTGGGCCTTCCGCTCTGCCTCCCTCTGCTGCTGCTCCATCAGGGCCTGGCGGCGCTTCTCCAGCTCCATGTTCCCTCGCTCGTAGTTGGCTTTTCGCTTGTCCTCAAAGGTGACTAAATGGGGCAAAGGCACAGTGAGCATCCTCACACATCAAGGGCCGACAGAACCTGAAATCCAGCATCAACACTCCCGCCCGACGGTCAGCCCTGTGCTGCCTATGACTCCGGGCACTCCCAGGGAAAGCAAAACATATGTCAACACTAAAATATTCACATTTTTCTAAAACTGTTCATTTTCAGAAGACAAATTTCTAAGCTCAAATCCATCCAAGTAAGAAATAATTTCGCTATTCCTGCCCATAAAAAATACACCTCAGAGGCCCTCCCTGGTGGCGCAGTGGGTTAAAGCGCAGCACAAAGAAGCTAAAGCCGATTCTGCATGAATTCAATTCCCGCCTGCCCCGGAGGTGACCACGTGGCGCGGCAGACCTCTCCTGACCCGCCCGCTGCTCCCCTCAGCAGTATACTTCGTCGATCTGCCTGCCTGTACCCCAGTTGTATATGCATAAATAAATAAATCTTTAAAAAAAAATACACCTCAGAATGCTTGGCCCCCCCCCCCAGCATTTCTTTAAGGATCACCAAGCTGTGTGGCTACAAACTGGGTATTTTTGTCATTAACTCCAATATTTTTAAACATCGACATATACTTCCAACCAATGCTTAAACATTTTTTAAAGCTGGAGACTTTATTAAGAAAAATCACTATTAAAGTATATCTTAGAAATTCAGTGTTACCTGGTAATTTTTTCTGAGGTTCCTCTTCTTGTATTTTCTGATATGAACACAGAGTTCCATTAATAGAATCAATTTGCTTTCCTCCTCTAAGAAAAGCAAATGACAAAAAAAATTTAGCAACGTGAAGTCTGGGAATTTTTAGACTAGACTATCCAGACTACCAATGATTAGAGCAACTTAGTATTTAGAATATAGTATTCAAGATATTTAAAACACAGCATGGTCTGCAGTTACAGTGCATAGCATCTGTCAAGCCAGAGAGATCTGAATTCAAATCATTTTTCTGATAATTGCTATTCTTGGATAAATTTATTTTTTTTAACTCTTTTAGTCATCAATTTCCTCATCTAAAGTGGAAACCACACCTAGTCCTGCGAGGGACTCACTCTGGTGTAAAACATTAAATAGCAAGATTGACTGGCAATGTCGATAGCTAACTCTCCGTGAAATTAGAATAGAGGCCTCAGAGTAAAAGATAAGTCTGCCAGGGATAAAGCCACGCCTCTCAGCCCAAAGCGCTCACCTGAACGACGGAGGCACCAGCTCGGGAGGCAAAGTCAGCGGCAGCGGCTGTCCGGCCTTGGCCATGTCAGTGAGGTGCATGGCGAGGATAAATTCCTCAGCTTTTAGTTGTCCGTCACCATCGATGTCGGCCAGAGTCCTGGAGAAATTGTGGAAAGTCCCAACTTAGAAAGTCTACTGTATTAGAGTATACTCAGACAAGTTTAACTTCATTTTTAAAACAATGCAATGACAGTGAGACTTCTGGGCAAACAAATCTCAGCGAAATGAAAACACATACAGAAAAAAGTGAGCTAATTTTTTACCACTCATTTTCCTATGACAAGAGAGGGGAGAAACTTTGAAGGAGAAAGGAAAATGTTCTTTCTGAAAAGGTGGCTTGTGTTGTCTCATGGCTATTTCACCGATCAAGTCATATTTAGCTCTACATTAAAAATGAGATATTCTCGGCCCTCCCTGGTGGCGCAGTGGGTTAGGTCACTGCACTAAGAGGCTACAGCCACTTCCGCATGAGTTCGATCCCCGCCTGCCCCAAGGAGATCCACATGGCAGCAGACCTCTCCTGACCCGCCCGCTGCTCCCCTCAGCAGTGTACTTCCTCAATCTGCCTGTTCTGCTCCCCACTCTGTCCCTGGTGAATCCTCTCACCCTCTGCATCTCTGGCCTGTACCCCAGTTCTGTATGAATAAATAAATCTTTAAAAAAAAATGAGATATTCTCTTGGGCCCTCCCTGGTAGCTCAGCGGGTTAAAACACAGCACTAAGAACTAAAGCCACTTCAGCATGAGTTCCATCCCCACCTGCCCTGGAGGTGACCCACACGGCGCGGCAGACCTCTCCTGGCCCACCCACTGCTCCCCTCAGTAGTGTACTTCGTTGATCTGCTTGTTCTCCCCATTCTATCTCAGGTGAGGCCTCTCACCACCCCCGCACCTCTGGTCGATACCCCAGTTCTGTATGCATAAATAAATAAAAAAAGAGAGAGAGAGAGATTCTCTAATTCACCTTTGAAGGCATTGTAGGGAAAAAAGATATTCATTTTACTTATAAAATAAATAAATGCCAAATTATCAAGACTATAATTTTGCCCAATTTTACGTGCTTTCAATGTCATATTAACTGCCAAATGGTTGCTTTATGAAACATCTCTCAGTTGCAACTTTTATATAGACAATACCATCCTTACACTAGAGACAGTACAGTCAAAAATCCTGAGAAACAAACATACTCACCAAATAGTAGCTAGTTGGGTTTGAGAGAGATTTGACTGAAGAAGGGCATTTCTGGCTTGAAAACCTGATTGGTGGAAAAAAAACATTGGAAAGGAATTTTTTAGCCTCTTTCAAGTTATGTTATGCAAACCTAAACAGCCATACCTATAAAATTAATACCACCGTTATTCTGGGAACTTCTAACATCAAACAGTTTTTGGCACATGTCAGCTAATCATGACAAATGCCGTCCGGCCCCGAAGAACTGAAACTCTAGAATCAGTGGGGTCAAGCGGTCCAGGTGCACTTTCACTGTGAGTAAAGGGAACAGTAAATACTGTGACTGACTCTGACTGCAGGTGAGCCCAGGCTGGGAGTATTAGAGGTGCTCAGAACTCCTCAGTCCCCAGGCAACCTCAAGAACACTGTCCTTCACACATGCCCAGATTTTCTTTCATCTCTCCAACTATTCCTCTGTCTCTACTCGTTGTCTTCTAAATGACCCTAAGGCTGGCATTCCCTGTGTCAGTCCTGGCTCCTTTCTCTGTGTGGTCATGTCCATTTCCATGGACCGAGAGCACTTAGAGGCTGATGGTTCCCAAGTGCTCATCCCCAGCCAGCCCAAACCTCTGAGTTTAGGCTTCTATCCCACACTATACCACTGACAAATCTACCTGCACATTGCACAGGGAGATCAAAACCATTGCATATAAAGTCATGCTCTCAGTCACCATTCGCATCTCTTTCCCAATAATCTCCACCCAAACCACTGTCCCTGAGTTCTCCTTTGCCATGAATGGCATCGCTGTCCAGTGGTGCAAGCCAGTAATAAGAAAGTCACCCTCGGCCCCTCCTCTCTGACAATTCTGTATCACTGCATATCTGAATCTTTCTCACCATGTAAATCACAATTGAATGTCATCTTCTCAGAAAGGTTTTCTCTCTCTCTACCCTATCATCCAATATATGTCCTGCTTGCTTCCTTCATGTGTCCTATCACAATGTAATGTAACATCTATTTGCTTATTTGTTTTTTCCCCTAATATGCTAAGTTCTCTGAAGACAAAAACTTCGACTACTTTATTCACTCATGTATACCCTAAGTCTGGTATGTAGGTGCTTAATAAAGACCTGGTAGAGTAATGAATAAAGCTGATATCCAAAAACATCTGGAGATATGGGAGACAATGAATTAGTCTAAGTAAATAATAATTGAAAGTTTGGAAGAGAAGAACAAAAGGAAGAAAACCCACCAACTGCTGGAGTCACTGAACAAAACATAACATCTAAGTGTGTGTCAGTCTGTCCTGTGTATATGGCACATACTCACTGCGAAAACACCAGAAACAACTGCTCTTTTCCCTTATTTATGGACATACTGCTCTATCCTTGTAAGTCTCACAGCCTTAACACTGTCGAAAACATCACAACCATCACACAAATAAAGCAACAAGGGTTCATTTCCTCACAAAGGGCTACTGCTGGTTGCTATTCACATTCCAAAACAAACCACCTTTGTTGATACCACATATCTGCAGTACATCAAGTGTATGAATCTTAAGCGTAGTGCTGGATGAACTGTTACATAGGTATTATGCACACCCATCTTAAGTTAGAGAACACTTCCTGTACCCCAGAAGGTTCATGCATGGCCCCATCCCAGAATAACCACACAGATCTGACTTCTACACCATCTATTATTAGGTTTCCTCTTCTTCATACTTGAGACCTTTTGTGTCAGGCTTCTTTTATCAATGAAGTGCATCCAGGTTGTAGCATATTCAGTTCATTTATTTTTATTACTCCACGTATCCACAATTAAAAGGTTGCCTTTTTTGGGTGCTCTGAATGAAGCTTCCATGAACAATTTGTTCTTGTCTTTTTAATAATGCACTTTCAATAATTTGAAAAAAATAATTTATGCAAAACATGGGGTCCAGAGAAGTTCATTTTTTCAAAGATGGAAATCATGACTTTACATTAACATCAAGTATGTTTGAAAACCATCTTTGACAGACTTATAGATGCCACCAATTGTAAGATACACCATTATGTTACATCAGACTAAGAAAGAAAAACCACTGCCAATCAAACTGTTTGCTAGTCCAGTCAATTTCAATAGCCATATTGCTCTCTTGTACCACTGTGGAACAGAGACCCATGCTCTTACATAACTTTTCATTCACCAAACATGTCATGTGCTTTTTGCTCTTAGGATTTCTTCTCTGTCACCCATAAGTCTCTCCCCCTCCTTCATTTTTTAATCAGACCAAATCCTAACTTTATTTTGTGATACAGCTTAAATGTTCACAGTCTACAAGACATTTTATTTGATGCTACAGAACAACTATTCCCCATGTTAAGTTCTTTAGCACTTTAAAGCTCTATCATTTTTAGACATTTTTAAAAGCTCTATTTGTCCTAAACTGTAATCTGTTGCTGAGTGAAGGAAGTGGGGTAAAGTAGTTTATTTGTTTATATTTCTTTCACTATGTTCAATAAACAAAGTCTGGACAATTTCTAGTTTGAAGTCAAATGTCCAATGGCAACTAAAGTCAAGTTTTATGGCTACATTTAGGTTGGGGCACTAAAAAATGAGCAATGTTCACATGGCAAGCAGATTCTCAGGGAGAAAATCTCAGGAAAGAGAGTTAAGGCAAAGTCCCATACACTCTCATCATTTGAGGTTCTCCATTCCCTGCATTGGAGGATAAGATTTGATCTTTTCCAAAAAGTTGGGTGTAAACCTGTATTCAACTTGTGTAAGAACTCTGGAGGAAGCAATCAAGTGATATTCACCTTTGACCTCCTACACAACTTAGGGTATTTCTATTTATTAAATGCCTACTCAAATTATTTTGATGTTAAACCTTTAGATGAGCTATAAAATACACATCCAAATAAAAGCACTTCAGTAGAAGTCTATATCAAAAACTTTAATTCTCTCATTCTTGAGCACCATATGCCACTTACCTGAGAGGTATCCACTCATGCTTTTGTCAAGACTATTAAATTTCTGCCGATATTTTAATCTTGAAGGCTGAGGAACTGCCCACTCTGAGGTCCCAGTCTTGGGCGAGTTCCCTGAGAGTGAAGCAGTTGAGGAAGTTGAGCTATAACAAAATTTATTTAAAGTTTTTATGTTACTAAATAAAATATATTTAAAGTTTATAAGGCAGAGACATTATACCATCCATAATATGTTAGTAATTGGTTTTGCATTTGATTGTGAAAAAAGATTAAGAAACTATCCTTATTCTTAGTAAAGCAAAGATTGCATGAAGCATAGAACTAGCATAGATGGAAAACCTATGAGATGCCAGCCCCTGTATTGTGTGAGGGCCTTCACAGAGATTATTTATAATCTCATGGCAAACTAAAAAGGCATCACTGTTCCCATTTTTTTCAGATGGCTCAATCAGTTAAGAAAAAACATGCGTAAACCACCAGTGAATGTTTAAGTCAGGATAACTGGGTCAGAGCTAACATTCTTTGTATAATGTTCTAAAGAGTTTTATGATGATTTATATGAGGGGTAGTGAACACTGATGCTTTTGTGGTTTCTGAAATTTAAAAGATAATTAACAATGCTCAATAAAGAGATTAATAAGGTACAGTGATTATGAGATATTTTCAGAAGCACATGTTTTTAAAGGAAAACTATGTACTGGTGGGAAAAATACTGAATGACTAAAAATACAGCAGGGTATTTTTAGTTTATAAGAAATAATTTTTTCAAAAGTAAAATGACAAAGTTTTTAATGAGTTACAATTAGTACATTTACCATAAGTATTTACAGTTGGCCATTATAAAATAAAACCTGGATAAGCTCAGAGGTTAAAACAAACCAAAAAAAAGCCACTTGGTAAATGCTCTATTAAAACCCTAAAAAGCCAGCAGCTTGAAGTATTCGTACCTACTAGATCCTAGATCAATCAGAGACTGGGCTTTCTGTATACTAGCACCGCCAAATCCTCCCATCATCAGACTGTAAGATGACCCATGAGGCAAGGCTAAAACAAAGAAAGAAGGTTCACATGAAACAACATTACAAAGTCTGAAGAGAAAACGTTTCTTCCTCTATGGGAAATACTGACTCATCAGACCCACAGTACTTACTTGAAGAAGAATAAGGAATGGATAAAGGCTGAACGAGACTTGCTGTTCCATTTGGTAAGGAAGACGTGCTGACGGAAGGCAGCAGGGGTGCAGGCATCATCAGGGGAGGGAGGGTGCTCCCTGAAGTTGCGGAGGACAAGGGCGTTGCTACAGGTGCGACTGGGGGCATCGACTGAGGGATGGACAGGTTGGGCATGCTTCCCATTCCTAAAGACGAGACAGAACACGGTCTCCAGTGCTAGTAAACGGATGGCGAAACGCAAGCCAGAAAACAAGATTACAATGCAGTGAGCAGAGCCAATATTTATGGGAACACTATGGGCAAACACCCAAGCCAAAAAGTTCACTAAAGCAGCTTTGACCCAGTAGTGAGGAAAGTCAGCTTTCACTTTTCATATCAATAATCTGATCTGTGTGAATTAAGGGAATGCCTAGGAGGGAGTTAAACATTCTTCTCTAGCAAGCACTTTTAAGTAAAAGTACTTAAAAACAATAAATAAAATGAAGCATTTTTTCCCACTTAAATATTAGAATTCTCAAAGAGAAAATGTATTACCTGATCAAATGTGTTTTTTGTGTGCAAGAATAATAAACACAGTGGACTCCCTGGTGGTGTGAGGGGTTAGTCTCAGCACTATGAAGCTATCCACAGCCACTGTGACATGAGTTAGATCCCCGGCCAGGAACTGACCCACCTGGCACAGCGGACCGCTCCTGTCTCACCCACTGCTCCCCTCAGCAGTGTATTTCAGTGGATCTGCCTGTTCTGCTCCCCACTCTGTCTCTGGTGAATCCTCTCACCCCCTGGAGTGAAGGAACATGTGTTCATTCCAGTGAGTGCTTCTTCCGTATGATTAATAAGAAATTGGATAATCGAAATTAATGGAAAATATCATTCTCTGAAGAATATGTAAATTAATTAGCACAAAGCCTGTAACTTATAGCCCTAAATTTAGCTGGCTAATTAACCTTTAAAATAATTTCTACTTTTGCATAATTTTAAATTCTCCCACCCATCAAACCATTTCAGTTGAGTTTAAATTTATTCATAGTTTTTTTCTGTTACTTATACAGAATATAGAGGGAAACTAATGAAGAGTAGTATTCAGGATTAGCTATAACAAGGTCATAAAACTACCACTCAAGTCAGAGCTGGTGTCAGGACAACAGGCACAGAATAACCCCTGGGAAACCGTGCCCAGGGATGTGCAGCCATGACAAGTCTAAACTGCCCATCTGCAAACGAAGCAAAGGAACAGACCAAATGGACCAAGCGCGCTCCTGCCATCTGCTGCTAAAACTGAGGCTATCGGAAGCCGGGACGGGAGCGGAGCGGGGAGGGGCCGTGGACAGCGCTGGGGGATTGGGACTCTGGTGGCGGCCATGTGCCGTATCGTACAGTGGAGAGGTGCAGCCTGTGCTCCTCACACACAGACATTGCTATAAACCCAGTTACCGCAGAAAACCTGATTTTTTTTTTAAAAGATGTATTTATTTGTGCATACAGAACTGGGGTACAGGCCAGAGGCTCAGGGGTGGCGAGAGGCTTCACCAGAGACAGAGTGGGGAGCAGAGCAGGCAGATCGACAGTACACTGCTGAGGGGAGCAGCGGGCGGGCCAGGAGAGGTCTGCCACGCCATGTGGTCACCTCCGGGGCAGGCGGGAATCGAACTCATGAGGAAGCGGCTTTAGATTCTCAGTGCTGTGCTTTAACCCGCTGCGCCACCAGGGAGGGCCCAGAAAACCTGATTTTTAAGTAAACTAATGTTAACTTCTTATCTCAGACATAACAATGAACTTGGTGTCTACATTTTACACAAACAAATCCTTTCCTAATCCTCAAGTGTAATGCCTAGGAATCAAGCTTAACTATCAAATGCAGATAATTAGATTAATGAATACTTACCAAAACGAGCAGAAATTAATGGAGAGAACATAGGAGGTTGCTTCATAATAGGAGGAAGAACCATGGGCAGCTGCTGGCCTTGAAGCTTGAGCTTGATGAGCTTCATAGCGATGGAGAATTCTTGCTGATCCATCTTCCCATCCTTGTTCAGGTCTGATAAAGCCCTAAAAGGTCCATGAGGTAAGCAGATTGGTACAGGGGGTCAACATTACTTTTAAGGATGAGAAAGTAGAGAACACTTGGATCATCACTTGGTTTATTTATAAATATGTACATACATATACACATATATACATATATACATATTTATATAGATAAAACAAAAAGTTAATCCTGTACATTAAGAAACATTGACGAGAGGTAGCATCTAATATAATTCTACCAGTCTCTCTCTCCTTATATATAGTATCTAGAGATCTTGGGATGAATTCCACCAAGTGTGGAAGGAAAGACATTATTCAAGAGTAAAATCAATCTAAACTTTATTTATTCATGTGTCAAATATTTATTGGATGCTTACTGTGTGCCTGGGACTCTGCCAGGCGTGGGGATATTCCAAATGAAAAGAAAGATGGGGTCAGGACTGGTATTTATTGCAAACACATTAACAAGCAAAATCCTAAATCTTTCTTTAAGGTAGGAGAAGAGGTTTACAAGTGCTGAAAATAATGGAACAACTCGAAATTAAAAGAAAAAAAAGATTTTGAGACTACCAAATTAGAAAGAATGATTTGATAGCCATATATACAGCTTCCTTCCTTAGGACAAATTAGAAATTTGTCCTATAGCACAAAACCCCAACTATTTTCATTTACTCAATACAATTTATTTTCTGAAAAGTTAAACACCCAGTAACAGAAGACTGCAAGTAAAAACAACTTTATGTTAACACTACGAAAAACAATTAAAAAATAATGCCACATTTATGTTTGTCTACAAAAGAAAATACTTTACCATATTTCAGCTAAGATAGGAGCTGGCAGTCCTGACTGTAAGAAAAAGGTTCGCGCCTGATCACCTGAAGGTAATAAAACAAAAGCCAAGCATCAGATTAGCAGGTGGATCATGCCAATATATGAATAATAGGCATCAATAAAATCAACAGTGAATAATGTTAATGATTTATAATTTTAATTCTAATCATTAAAAATAGATAAGAATAAGCAAGCTTGTTCATTATTTCTTAACTTATTTTAAATTTTTTGGCAACAGTTTTCCTGGGGTAAGTTTACAATACCATGTATGAATTAGTGGTACTTATGTTACTTTATGAGACTTAGATTTTTTTAAACAAAAAAAGTCACCACAGAAGTTATATTCAGCTATCAGTGATGAAAGATGACACCTTTCACCTTGTTTATCCACAGTAATTGGAGGCTTAATTGACAATACTTATATTAAGAGCACTATTCCCAAGAAGAGTTCTAAATTAAAAATCTGCAAGTGGAAGAGTCCTTGAAGGTCTCCCACCATCCCTGTAAATGCCAGGTCTCCAGACCCTCGTTGCGCTCTCATTTCTCAGAATTGGGTTTGCAGTGAGGGAAGAGAAAGGCTCCCTCTGGGACATAGAACAAGCTTGCTTACTGCTTGCTCAAAACTGGTAGTTTCCCCAAGCCCAGTGTTCCTCTCCTGGCACAGCCCTGGCAAGAGTACACACCCCCACATCCACACCCCCACACAAATAAGACTTAACTATAAAACTTACAAGGATAGATACCAGTCAGATTTCAAAGCCCAGGTCAACACTAACCATCATCGCTGTGACCTTACATAAATGTCGTAACATCTCTAAGTTTCAGTTTCACCATCAACAAACACAGACAACAGTAGCTCCTCATTGAGTTGTTGTGAAAGTTAAATGAGTTAATGTACTCAGTACAGCATGTGACAGGCAGGACAGATTAGGTCAGTATTAGCTACGCAAGCTTACCATAAATATAGCACTCGGGTGCTTTGGATAGGAAAAATATTTCGATTATAAAACTTTGAAAGACAATTAAAAATTAATCCTCTGGCTTTGGAGGTTTTTTGGGGGGCAGAAAACAAGCAAACCTGGTACATAACATTTTAAAGACAGAATTAACATTACAAAAACAGGCTCCAGAAAAAAACTCTAGATTATCCTTAAGGCAATGGAACTGATATTAATATTGATCATCATGCTGGTAATTGGCTGTACATATTAAGAGTACATTGACAAATTTCTTTAGGGAAAAAAAACTCAACTTCCTTAAGAAATAAGCTATGAATTTGCTAAAGATAATGTGAAAATGGACATTTAAATCTGAAATTATTAAGCAGGGTAAAGAAAAGATCTTCCACGTGCCAAATCCAAAACCACAACTTAAAATTAGTAAAGTGAGGAAAGCCACTTTTTTAAATTCTAGAATTCTGATTGACAGCCATCTTCTTAGTAATCCAAACTGATGGCAGGTCAAATTAAAATGAATTCTAAAATGTAACATAAAAGGGAGTCTAATCCACAAATGAAATATAAACACAAACCCGTTATGTAACCTCCGGAGGGTTTAAGGTTATCAAACTGCTTGTCGTGCTTAGTCCGTTCTTCAGAGGTAATAGCCCACATATTTGGCCCTCCTAAAACATAGATAAAGAAATTATGTTGTTTATATGAGACGCTCAAAATACAACCCTCAAACACAACTACGATCACAAGCATTCACTTACAGGCTGTATCTGACACAGGGGCGCAGGCAAAGCTCCCCCGACCACACGCAGCCATCTATCGCTGGGCTCTCCCCTCAGAAGCCCAGTTAACATCCACGCAACAACAACTGCACAGCACCCCGGAACAAGCTACATTCTGGAAATACAACAACAATAACCCTCCTCATCCTCAGGGGTGGGAATCCTTACTCTAGGAAAGAAACACAAGTGTTTATAGTGTTAACCTCTTTAGAATCAATCCTATGCAGAAATACATCCCCAAAGCTGAGAGAGACGCATGGAGAATAAGCTAACAGGGAAGGTGTGACTGACGGCCGCAGAGCCCTGACTCTTGGCAGGAATTCTGCCAGCTGGAGGGCATTTCGCAGAGAAAGGGCCCACGGAGCGGGCAGGGTGAGTGGCGGAGCTCAGTGCCCTGGGGAGGCCAGTAACTAAAGCACGTGGGTGTGAGAAAGTGGCAAGAAACAGGCAAACGAATTTCATTCTGAAGGGTCTTAAATATCATCCTCAAGAGTCACCTCTACCCTGGAATTACAGTAACTTTTAAAATAGCCTTCTTTGTTCAGAGTAACTTCAGATCTATGGAGAAGCTACAAAGAGAGTCCCTTGTAGACATCACCTAACTTCCATTATGTTAACAATTTACATGACCACAGTACAAATAAATGAACAGCAGTATGATACTGTTAGTTAACCTCAGCATCACGGCCAGCAGGGCTGGCTGGTCAACCCAGCAAACCTGACCTCTGGGTCCTGAGACAGCACAAGCCTTTGTGACTGAGTTAGTCCACAACTGGCGCCTTTGGCACAGGGAAGTAGCCTGCTTCCAGCTTTGAGGCCCAATGCTTGACCTGGGAGGCCTCAATTGACTCTCCCGTCTGACAATCCTAATTTTGGATAGGTCACCTTGAGTTCCAGAACTAATTAGGTAAAGGTAAAGCAGGACCCCAAAAGGCTTGCCTGCCAAAATGTTTTTTATTCAAGAACACCGACAGCTGGCCCCAAGAGCTTCGACACTCCACATGAAAGCGTGGCAGCTGTCCCTCAGAGGGACACTCAACTCCTACCCCACGGTCTGAGCGCAGCAACCAGAGCAACAGCTCAGCCAGCTCCCTCTGCGTGCTCTGGCCTGTCCGCTACTGGCTCGGAGAAGCTGAAGCCAGAGGTTGTCCACGCACAGCTGTGGCCTGTCCGGTCTCGAGGCCATTCAGCCTCAGAGAGATGCAGAAACGAAAGCAAACATGGGCAGTCTGTGCAGTGGGCAGGACTCAGATTCTCGGGCTGTTGCCAGGGGCCCAGCTGTTTGATTTACCATTTGGAAAATTACAAACAACACCCTTTTGGGGCTGCAAACTGAAAACAAATTTTAATTGCTAACTGAATGGTCTGGATCATTCTTGTTGTTAAGCATGGTAAGGGCCCATTCTCCGATTCAGACTGAATTCAAGCTACTGATGAAGTCAAATGCTACGTTTCTGACTGCATCCTAGACACATGTGTGCACGCAGGTCTCACTGCATGAGCCAGCGTCCCCTTTGGCAAACTAATTACATCAACCTTTGACCCCCCCAACCCCCAGTACTGGTTACCAACAAGTCCATGAAGTTCCTATTACGGTGGCCTCTGAAACTAGCGTGGCGTGTCTTCAGCTCTCTGGACCACTTGTACTCTGACCTTGACATATCACTTATCACAACAGTTACTCAACAATGCAGGCATGTCTGGCTCTATTTCTACCACCTCCTCCTAATCCACACTCATTAAAACAAGAGAGCTTGGCCACTGAATGTGGCTGTCCCAGAAAGGAATCAGCATTAATTCTTGGCTGCTTCCTGGCTAATGATTAGGACCGTAGGTCAGAGGGGACATAATGACCTACTTTGAAAACTCAGGCTCTGTCCTGACTATCCTTGGACAGATGCATCTTCCTTTCTCCTAAGAGCAACTGCAGCAGGCCTGGTTAGTACACCCTCCAGATGGCAGTTTAGCTAAACAGGGACCCAGATGATTCAAACCAACTTCTGGTGAGGGTTTACAAAAATGTCCTTTTCCCTCTTGCACCTAACCCTTCTGGGTTGCTAGAAAACAGTGAAGTTGTGATTACATGGAACACCCAGATTTTGTGGAGGAGGAGACTTACCACCCAGAATGTGAGGGGGACATACCTTAAACCAGAGGACGTACAGGAGAAAGACCCCTCGTCAGTCTTTTCTTTCAGACCTGCCCGGGAGCCGTCATCCCCTAGGGAAATGCCTGTTCTGGCCCTCCAAACTCTTGGGAGCACCTGACCTGTAACTGGGCTGAGCCTGAACCCCTGCCACATGCCCGACCCACACTCAGTCTCAGGCTTGGGGCCTGGGCCCTGTGTTCCTTCTCCTCCACCCAGTGACATCACCCCTCCTTGAATCTGGCTGGTCTTGGCAAAGGCTTTCCAGCTGCTTGCCCTGTGGTGGGAGCAGCAATACTTCCACTTGTGGGTACAGGGTCCGAGGCCCAGATCTCCTCCCCCTTCCCCAGTGTCCCCTCAGTGTCCCAGGCTTTTCTTCAGCCATTACCCTAACTGCCTCAGTCCTGGGGCGGGTCTTTGTGAACTCTCTCCCAGTGGCATGAAGCTTTTGCTTACTAGAAACAACCTGACAGGAAATGCATAGGGCCTGGCCGATCCCCTCACAGGGCCTGCCACACTGCCATGGTCTCTCCTCCCCAGTGTCCCGGCGGGCGCCAGGCTGATGCGCACGGGAAGCAGCTTGAGTCAGCAAGAGCTCCCCTTGTGTCTGCGATGCTGGCTACTCCATGCTGACATGCCAGCCCTCTCCTGTCTTTTGTCATTAAACTCCCGACTGATTCCTGCCACAAATCCCCCAGTTTACTCAGAGCAGTGTTTGCATCCAGAGAGTCTGTGACTGAATTCTGTGGCAAACTAAGCTCTAAGTGCACTGGTGAAATCATAGAAATCTTTGATTTGCTGTCAGCCCTATACCTTAGCCTGGATCACTATAGAATTCTACTGAAAACATCAGTTCATCCTTCAGAGGTTAAGTCTCAGCACTAACAAGCTGTCTGCAGCCACTGGAGCACAAGTTCGATCCCTGGCCAGGGAGGTGACCCACAGGGCAAAGCTGAACTCTCCTGTCTCACCTGCTGCTCCCCTCAGTAGTGTATTTCAGTACATCTGCCTGTTCTGCTCCCCACTCTGTCTCTGGTGAATTCTCTCACCCCCCCCAATCTTTGGTCGTACCCCAGTTCTTGCCATTTGCTCTGAAAATGAGATCCCGTCTCTCAACTTCCTCAATCCCCAGATACATCTTTAGCCGCCTCCTCTCACAGTTAAACAGCAGAGTGTAAAGGAATCGAGAGGAGGTTCTGTTCCTCTCCGTGTGTTAACTAGTTTTGTGATTTAGGCAGGTTTTTAACTCTTCTCACCTTTATTTCCTTATGATAAGTCACTGTAGCAGCAGTGTATGAAAGTGCTGTCAAAGTCCCAAGGATGCTGCAGGCACTACTGAGCAGCTGAGTCTGCCCCCAGAGGCTTTCAGCCCTTGCTGAATCACCTGAGGAGCTGGGGGAAGGCGGGTGGGCCAGGGGGGAGCCCTTCCAGCAGACCAATTAAATCAGAGTCTCTGGGGGGTAAGGTAAAGGCTTCATAATTTCTAGAATGCTCTCTAGGTAATACTAATGTGCAGCTAATGTGGAGAACCACTGTCCTTACAAACCAAGGCTGCACATGGTCTCTCTGTACCAACCTTCTGTTAAATGTTCTGCTCCACCTCTGCTCTTACAGCAACTCCGCAGCAAAGCAGAGCACAGCCCCAAGAAGGAAGTGCCTGAGGGCTGTCGGCCAATGACCAGCCATCTTACAGACTCTTTTCTCCTATGCCGATTCATGCAATCTCACCTCCTCATTTTCCATAGACATTAGTCTTTTCTCAGTCCCCTTTATCCAACAGCTCTCTCAACTCTTGACCAACTACCTTTCCGTTTTTAATATTTCAAAGCAGCCTTCTCTATCATGTACTGCCATAGGCTGGCAACATTAGCAGAGTATTAGCATTACTTAGTAGAAGCAGCAACTATTAGCTGAGTGTTACTATATGCCAAGTTAAGTATATTAACATATAATTTTTATAGCTCTGTAGGCTTTGTTTCAGAAGAATTGCAGATGAGAAAAACCAAACCACAGGAGGTGAACAACTTGCTATGTTTGTGCTGTTAAGCAGCCTCTCTAATCAATTCTGATATTGTAGTCCAGAAGTGTTATTTTGGCTATTTAAAAATACTAAGAAGCAAAATAAAAGAGATGAGCCTAGAATGACTATGTGAATATAAAAAATATGAGTCTGTTTTACATGTTAAAGGAACTAAATCTTCCCCTGGAGTAATGCACCTTGACTTTTTTTTGAAACAATGATTAGATAGCAAATAGGCTGGGGAGAAAATGATACCATTATAAACTTACTTAAAATTTAACAAGAGAATAAATAATACAAAATAGAAAACAAAGATAGTAAGATACTAACAGATCCCTAACTCTAAAACATCAATCCTCATGGATCCCATATGCGTAACACTCTTTCTCACCAGGTGACCTGTGTTCCCTTTACTTGGTCACTAACCCTTTCATCTTCCATTTCAAACTTTCTCTTTCAAGAGCCAGAGCAGCTGTTACTTCCTCCAGGAGGTCCCTGACTCCTGCAAGTCAAATTAACTACTTCCTACTCTAGATTTTAGGCTTCTCCATGATTCTATAGAGCACTCGGAAAGGTGTATAATTGTTTTCTACCCAGATTCTACCAGGCAATGAGGAGACAGGAGCTTTGGAGTGTTTATTTGTCTATGCCCAGAACCAGTAGGAGGTCCAGCAGAGCGCCAACACTTAATAATGATGGGTGAATTGAATAAACGTCTGGATG